CAGTAAAGAATCCACCTGCCAAGCAGGAGACCCAAGTCTGATCCCTCAATGGGAAGAATCCCCTGGAGAATGAAATTGCAACCCACTCCAGCTCTCTTGCCTGGGAAATCCCATGAACAGAGGATCCTGGCAGACTACCATCATGGGGTCACAAAGACTTGCAAACGACTTTAATGACTAAACCACCACCAACCACTCTGTTGGATAGGATAACCAAACTCTTTTCTTGGAAAAGTTTTGCACTATACAGATACGTTTCACTTTGAAATACTAGGACCCACAGAATATACTATCTTTTTTTTCCCCCAATTATTTTTATTAGTTGGAGGCTAATTACTTTACAATATTGTAGTGGTTTTTGCCATACATTGACATGAAACAGCCATGGATTTACGTGTGTTCCCCATCCCAATCCCCCCTCCCACCTCCCTCCCCATCATCTCTTAAGAATTTTTTTTGCTATAATTCTAGATCTATAAGACTATTTGATTTGTTCATTGATTTAACTCAGTTTAGTTCTCTGATCATTTAGTATCTACCAAAGATTGACATCAACCTTCAGAGTAGTGTCAGCTTTCACAGCATTTTGGTTATGCTTCCAAAACAGAGACTTTAAAGTAGCAGCTCCGAATAATCCATTGGCAGACTTCACACCCATGTTAAAATTAAACTTCCTACATTCTTTAGGGTAGAAGGTATAACTTTGTTCTCTTTTTTTTTTAATTTAAATAACTTTAGTTAGGGCAGATCTTTCATTAGAGTTCCCACAACTCCTTAGCTTCTTAACAACAGTTTTGCTTCACCCATTTACATTAGCTATTATCAAACCCTTGCAAGCATTTGAGTTTCAGCCCCAGAAGAGTCTAATCACCTTATTTTTAATGAAAAAAACCAATGTTCACAGGGATTAAATAACTTGGCCAAGGTGATCCAGCTAGTCAGTGGCACCGAGCCAGAGTCAAAATCCAAGTACACTGGCCCTTTGTGTAAGACACTGTATTCATTTCACTACTTTTTCTTTCTCTTTATCAGAACATAACATTTATCTGAAATAAGACTGTGGTTTTTTTAAGTTTTAAAAGCTGCATCGTGGCACTTACAGTTTTTATTCATATTTCAAGTTTCAAAATATCATTAACAGATTAAGCATATTACTACATGCTGTTTTGGTGTTTGCACTACTCCCCTTCCTCTCCACTGCCTTTTAGCTGTTTAGAGAGCTAGTGGAGGGGAAAATGGAGTTATAAAGTTACAAAAGAGAAAAGACTGAAGGGTTTAGAGAGTTGAACAGGGATGGGGGAGTGGGGAGTTATCAAAAGGAATAACTGTAGAGGAAGGACAAGGAAGAAGGGAAAGGTGAAGCAGCGGTTCCTGGAGACCCTGAGATAGGAACAGCTGAGAAATAAAAACAGCTAGGTCATCAATCACTGTTCCTTTAGGGGATGTGCTGATTCTAGCAGATTTTTCTTTAGGCTCATGTAGCCAACACCAAACAAAATTGTGAAGTATTCAATGTTTCTCTTTGAATTCTTTGTATGTTCTTGCATTCAACTCTATTTAAAGATGCAGTTCTTTTTCTTCTCTCTCTGGTCCATCTGAGGTCTATCAAGCAGTCATTTGACACCTTAGTTTTAAGACTTTCTCTCTTCCAAACTGTTGCCGTTTGAAGTCCTACCTTTTAATTGTTGAGTACAATAACCTTTCTGAAAGAGATTACTTAAACATCAGTAAGCAGAGAGGGAATTATTTGAAGATGAGGGAATCCTGCTTTTAGGCAAAGCACACTTGATTCATATCAAGCTTAAAATCTAAAGTACACAGATACCTCTTTTCCCTATTCAAAGTCCTAGGTTAAATTTTTAATGGGTAAGAAAGGTGCAGAGTCTGAGAAGGTAACGGCAATCACCAAGAAAATAGTACATTTTTTATAAAGTTAACTAAGGGAAGCATCAACGAAGACACTTATTCCAAACAAGCCGATGTAACACCTAGTTCAGTTACCTGTGTAAGTCAAAGGAAAGTAATATTTCTCATCAATTATCTACTTATTCAGTAGAGAAAAAAGATATTCAGTAGTGAACCTTAACCTATTTAGTATTTATAAACAGTATCTTATTTCTGTTCATAACTGAGGGTAGAAGTATGGCAAGCACAATTTCCATAAATTTGTAAACTTGCTTACTAATTTAAGCAATTTAAGTTTACGAACTATAGCAATCAGTTGATTGCTATTATCAAGATCGTAAAGGCCAGTAGAAAAATAAAAATTTACCCAAACCTTCTAGATGCTGGGACTAGATTGCTTGGTTTCAACCCTGGGTTCTGCCGCTTGCCTCAATTTCTCATCTCCCTGGTGAATGAGTGAGTGACGTCACTCAGTTAGGACTCTTTGCGACCCCACGGACGGTAGCCTGATAGGCTTCTCTGGCGGCTCAGACGGTAAAGCGTCTGCCTACAACGCGGGAGATCCGGGTTCGCTCCCTGGGTCAGGAAGATCCTCTGGAGAAGGAAATGGCAACTCACTCCAGTACTCTTGCCTGGAGGCTACAGTCCATGGGGTCGCAAAGAGTCAGGCTCCTCCATCCATGGGACCTTCTAGGTAAGAATACTGGAGCGGGTTGCCATTTCCTTCTCCAGGAGATCTTCCAGACCCAGGGATTGAACCCTGGTCTCCTGCATTGTAGGCAGTCGCTTTACCATCTGAGCCACAAGGGAAGTCCATATCTACCTAATGAGAGTAGTAATAATGCATGCCTCATAGAATTGTTCTGAGAATCAAGATAACACTTTAAAACATTTAGAACCTGATTTGGCACTGTGTAAGTGCTTGTTAAATAAAATACTGTGACTCTTTCTTTCTTGACTCTGAAGGCAACTAGTTAGGTGTACAAAATGACCTCATCAATCTGATTTATAATTCAAATTGACATTGAACGTACACATCTATATCCAGTTAACTCATTGCCTTGAACATGGTGCAAACAAATAAAATGTTACTTCATTTTGTTGCATGGATACAGACTTCAACATATCAGAAATGCCCTTTCTTCGAAAACAAACAAACAAACCAAACTGGATAGCAGAGTATGCATGAGGCGTCACTTCTCAGTTGTTTTGTTTATAAAATGATGGAGAGGATCTTTGTCTTCAAAACCTGTAACTTTTTTTCCCAACAACCTTATTGAGATAAATTAACACACTTACAAATGATCCCGTCAATAGAGAACATTAGCGTTTATTGATTGGCTACTGTGTTCCAGGTACTACACATACATTGTTTTTCTTAATCTTCATAAAAATTCTTTAACACACGTATTATCTTTCTCTGATTAAACTATAGCTAAATGCTTTGCCGCTAGAGGTTGAGGTATGAACATGAGGTTTGAACTCATGTTCGTTCATATGACTCCATTATTCTTCCCACATCCAGCGACCTCTTTCTGAAAAATTACTTAGTTCTCTTTCAGTGTTTAGGTTTGGGAAAAGAGGGAAACTTAACCCTTTGATAGTACTCATCGTTAAACTAATCTTTAACTTGTCAAAAGTCAAATAGTATAAGAAATAGCAAGGAACTGGAAGCTGTTTTCAGACTTTCAAATCAAGGATGATACAAGAAGACAAAATAGTATCATTTCAAAGAAAATAAGCAATCCCAATGCTGATACAAATTATCCTACCCTGACTTGGAAGGGTTCAACACTCATTAGTATATTACACCCATTTTCTGCATTCCCACCAAATGAGTTAGCGTAGAGGCTGAAAACGAGTAAAGAAGAGAGATCAGGCAGGAATTCTTATCCATCTTTTAGACTTTTCACATCATGTTATCTTACAGTCAAATCGCTGTACATCATGCTTGGAATTACTTAGGCGGTTTTGCCACAATTCATTTCTGAAAACACATATTTAGGTCGTTCTTATACGTCAGGCAGCACTAGGTGTACAAAGGTGTTGTTTTTTGTTTGTTTTAAATGAATTAGTGCAGCCTGGTTTCTATGTTAGTTTAGGCTTTCGTAAGGAGTGGTAATTAGTGTACTATACTAAACAGCGAGCCAGTGTGCCTGTGAAGCTGGATTATAAACTTGCCTCTCCACTTACTGTGTGACCTTGGCATTTGATTTGTGAGACTCGATTTTCCCATTTTTAACATCATCGGCTTCAAATAATAGCTAGTATTACCTACTTTCAGGTGCACACACCATGGGAAGGTGTGGCCAGGAATAGGTCACTTCATAGTGTCTAGGAGAATGGGTTTCTCGCCTGTTTTCGCTCCTTTATTTTAGTACCTGGCACTATTCGATACCTATTTTACACCTTGTTCACCGAGGAGCTGGAACATGTTTCTCACTGCAGCTCAGTTATCTGGGTGTGCCTGGGGAGGCGTCACAAAGAGCCTATAAAAGGTCCCCACCTACAGCAGGGGTAGGAGCGCAAGAAAGAGCCCAGAAAGACCACTGCGGCGAAGCGTTCGGTTTCGGGTCGCTAGGTTTGGTCCTATCTTCACCGAGTTTAGGTTCTGGGACTCGCCACGGAAAGACTCGAGTCACAGACCTGTTAAAATTTTTCTGCCATATTCTAGCCGTCCCCACGCCCCCCGCGCCGCCCCACCCTCAAGCGTGAGTGAATGCGCAAATAAGGGTTTTCAGGCTTCTGTGGGAAAGACGGAGGGGAAGGCAGAAGTCAGCATGAGCAGGGCGGTGGCACCGCTCAAGTGAGACAGGATCCAGGCCCCACAGACGAGAGTTAAAACCAGGCGTTCCCGGGCCGAAGGAGGCCGAGGCGAGCTGCTGGACGGGCGGGGGCCGAGGCGAGGCAGCCGACCTCGGCGGCGCACTCACTCCGCCCGGGGCCAACGCCGGTCCGGAGGCGCACCCCCCCACCCTTACGTCTCTTTTGGTTTCGACCTCCCGACTGGGAGGGGCCGCGGGACGCCATTCCCACAATGCTCTGGGGCGTGCCGCCGCCGTCGCTGCCGCCTCCGCTACCGCTAGTGGAAGAAGATGGCGGAAGGCGGAGCGGCAGATCTGGACATCCAGCGGTCTGACATCGCGACGCTGCTCAAAACCTCGCTCCGGAAAGGGGACACCTGGTGAGGGAAAGAGGTTGAGGTGGCTGCGGTTGCCCGAGGGTGGTGGGGAACTCGGTGGGAACTGCGGGCTGGTGTCTCGCTGGTGACAGGTGCGGGCAGGTCCGGCGGCGGCCGCCTCAGGCAGCAGGATTTTGGCCGCTTCCGAAAGGCTGGGGCAAAGATTGGACCCGAAATGAGGGCCACGGTTCATGGCTCGTCGAGGCGTTGCTGAAAGGCTTGCGGGGAGCGGCGGCGGCGGCGCGTGCGGTTCTCCTCGTCCTTCTTCCTCTGGTGGTGCCGCTCCCACTTCAGGCCTTCCCGAATGATAGGTGACTCTCCTTCGGTGTGAGTCTCTTAATGTTTGACAGGTCCTGGCCCCGCGGCTGATCCCGATCTCACCCGCTTCACTTCTTTAGTCATTTCCTTTCCCTGCGTTGTCGGCATCCAAGTTCCCCTATTCTGATTCTCGTATTCTTCCGGGAGGCCGGCTGCAGGATGTTTGCGGTTCCTACTACACAGGTGGCATGTGTCAGGGCGCCGCTTAAGAGAAAGGAACCTAGTTCCTAGTTCCTAGTTCCTTGTCGAAAGGACGGCGAGGAGTACTGAACCTTAGGCTTCTGAGTGGTACCACGTGGTCTTGTGCTTTAGTGGAGGCTTGGTAGACGCCGGCAGCGTTTCTCTAGAAGTGCGGCCCTTCCCTCTTACTGGAAGGATAACGTAGGCCTGCAAGAAGTAGATAAGTCCACTTGAAGCTTCAGTCACTTGCTAACATTCAGACTTATAAAATACCAAAGGATATACTTAAAATATCAAAGAAAGTATTTGTAGATTTTAATATTTGTGGGCCATATCAAGTGGTATTCAGAATAATTTCAGTATGTGAATATGTAACCTAAAGTGCTCTGTTTCATTGGGAAGGATCATGTGCTTCTTTATTATAATAAAAGTTATTTTCACTTTTCCATCGTCACCATAACAGTTGTGTATAATACGCAAGCGTGTTTTTTCATTTCCTCAATATGGCTTAGTGGAAGGAGCGTCAGATTTAGACTCAAGTTAGGCTAGCCTTTCCACCACTTAGCTTTCAGTGTGACTTTGAGGAAAGTTAATTTACATTGCATCTCAATGATTTCCTCTACAAAATGGACAGAATAATTTCATTTAGGGGTTTATCCTGATTCAGTGAAATAGTCTACAAGATTTTCTGCCTTGAGATAACAAATTTTAGTTACCTTCTTATCACCACCATTTTTGTTAAAATGCTGTGGTATTAGAATCACTGTCAAGTAAGCTAGTAGATGGCAGACTTGGGACTTGAATTTAAATACTTTGGTCTAAGTCTTGGTGCTTTTTCTTATTTTGTTAGGCTGCACTGTATGTTTTATATCATTAAAAATCCCTGAGAGTGTAAACATGTACTTGTTGGATTGCAGCAAAAAATATGGTTTAATAATCATTCTTGTTCATACCAGAGGGTTCCTATGATGTTTATTACTGTGGGGAAATTGGACATTTTTGTTTACCTTTTCCTGTGAATTGTTAAAGATGAAATCAGTCCTTCTTATTGTTTGTTAAAGAACATTTTAACATTCTTAATTTACCTTGCCTAATACCACCTTATACAAAGGTAAATGTGGATTTTCATGAAATACAAATTTACAATTTAATATATTTGTTGATGTTCAGTCGCTAAGTTGTGTCTGACTCTTTGTGACCCCATGGACTGTAGTGCAGCAGGCTTCCCTGTCCTTCACTGTCTCCTGGAGTTTGCTCTAACTCATGTTCATTGAGTTGATGATGCTATTTAATTTAATATATAGATATCATTTATGTGTATATTACTCCCTGTTAATGTTGTTGTGGTTTTGATATACTGAGTAATAATTGGTGGTGTTAACCATAAAGGATGATCAAAGCAGTATGCATATTGTGACCATTAAACTTTAAAGTTTAGCCTTTTTATTTTTGACAAAGTTTCTGTAAATCATTTTAAAGATCTGTTGATATTTATAAGAGTAAATACAGGAAGTTCATAAATTTGAGTCGTTTCAGTGCTTCCATCTTAAAGAAAAGAAAACTGAGGCCCAGACAATTAAGTAACAGCAGAATGTGCAAATTTTTATCCTCACAGTTGATTTCCCCTCTCATTTGAAGGAAAAAAATGCAGGAAAAGATGGTACCGGGATGCTCTAGAAACTAATTTGGTTTATATGTGAGCCAGTTTACTTGGAATTAGCAGGTGAAACCTATCAAAAAAGGAATTTGCGAAAGTTTGATTCAGAATTTTAAGGAAAGCAATTTGTTAAGTATGAATTTGATAAAGTGTTCGTGAGTACAGAATTGGTAAAGATATTTAATGGTTTAGTTGTAGCTTGGGTTCATGTTTCTGGTACTCAGTAAAGCTTGTTAAACAGTTGTTTCTCTTTTTAAAGTCTTTAAAAAGCCTTGGATTAGTCATTTATGGGTGTTTGAGAAAATTCTGTTTGTTTTTTAATAGCTGAAATGGGCCATATGCAAATGAAACATTGTCTTGGCATATGTATATTACCATCTTGAAAAGACTGATTGGACTGTTAAGAAAAAATGATAGGTTTACCATGAGTTTATTCTTGAAATTTTAATACTAACATCTCATGTTATAGTCAAATACATTCAAATAAGATCATTAATTAGGTTGTGAGTACTTTGCAGATAAGGACGGCCTGTTGCTACTCTGGTAATGAATGCTAACACCTGGCCAAGGATACAGATTTGCTTCTATGTGGCTTCTAGAATTTCTGTTTATTTGTAAATAGTGGATGATTTTTATCTGGAAACTAACTTTCTAGAGATGAAAATAAGCTACATGTGTCTGAGATGAGTAACAAACCTTATGTTTGGTATTAAATTTTATAGTGACAAAAATGTCAAAATTGATGTAAAAGAGATACACTTCTTAAAAAGGTTGGGTATAAAAGTAACACCTATCTGCCTTAGAAGGCGTGATCTTTTGTGCTGTTTCCTGATCTGTGTTTAGCTCCAGGGAGAGATTCAGAAAACCATGAACAACACTATTAGAATTTAGAAACTGTAGAAGAAGAGTAAAGGAACTAGAACTGTTTGCTTTGGATGAATGAAAGACAACTTAATTTTTAGGTACATGGTAGTTTCTTCTAATAAAATAAAAGGAAAATTTGTTTAAAGTACATTGCATTAAGTATATCAGGGATGGAAGAACCTATTGAAGGGAATGATAGTTAAATAAGTGTGCAAATATACAAATACATGTTGTGGGTTATGTACTCTCTTAGGTGATTTCTTTTAAAATAGATTTATTGTAAGTAAATAAATGACTATAAGTCACCAAAACCACTGCTGTATTCCCTTATTTTATTAAATGTTATTCATCTACCAATCATTTCCACTAATTTTTATGTTCAAGTATGTCCAAAACTTCCTTTATAGATTAAATCTTGCATGTCATTTTTGTATAAACTCTAATAAAATTAGTAGAATTACAGTAACTTTGAAGAGTAACTTTCATTTATAGTCATTTAAAAATGTAGTCATATAGCCATGTGTGATGTTTTTGTCTCAAACTGCAGAGGAATTGGACCAATCAAGTTTACTTTGATAGAGGAGGCTTTAATTTCAATTAGAGCTTTCCTTTCCTACTGTTTTACTTAGAAATCTTTATTTTATATAGCCCCTTATGTTTTTGCAACTTTGATTCACACTAACAAAATAATCTTAAATCAGACGATCAGTTAATAATGTAAATGGAAACTATTAATCAATATGAACTCCCAATTGTTTAGTGTGTGCTTGCCAAGAAGTTTTTATATTACCCTTACTGTTAGCTTTAATTGTATCAAAGTGTTTACCTCTAAAATAGGATATATGTTATATCACTTGTATCAAATGAATCCAGAAAGCAAAACTGTTTTTTAGTGTCGGTCAATTGATGAACATAACAGAAGTAGGGACGTTAAAGCATGTTTTTCACATTTTAATTGCTTAAAATTGAGAAAAGTAGCTTTTCCTTATTTAATCCCTTTCATAAGTTTTTAAATCACTTGTAGGTTGTTAATGAAGCCAAGATCAATGTACCCCATTTAGCCGAGCAGATCCAGAGCTTTAGCATCTACTTAGTGACATTCAGATTTTTTCCTAAATCATACCGCCTTTTTTCATTAGCACATACAAAGTATTAAATAGATGTTTTAGAAAATAATTTTGTGACTGTTACTAGTCTTGCTTGGATGTAAGTATGATAAGATTGTCAGTCTATGACCTATGATATTACATTAAAAAGGCGCTGTGCTAGGTGTTGAAGTATTTAGTTCCTCATCACCGCGATTCTAGGGTACCAGAGTGTGAATGTGTGCCAGTTCACACTGGCCAGAATAAGAGTTTCCCCAGATAGGCTTGAAGAAGTGTTCACACAGTGATACATCTGAGATTTGGACCCAAGTAGTTTGGGGCCTTAAATCAGGCCTTAAAATTATTGTGCTACACTGCCTTTAAAAGATGCGTTTTAAAGTGTTCCACTTGTTTTTTTAAATGGACATGCTTTTCTCTTTAAATGGAATCTAATTTATATTTAGGAAGAGAATTCTACCGTTTTATCCCACACTCATTTCTTGTGACTAAACTGTTTAGTTTTGATATGGTGGAAAAATCTTATACTGCTTTTGGAAAATAAAATACGTTTAAGGATTAGTAAGTTTTTAACTGAATATGTAGAACAAACATTATTTCAGTCCAAAAGTACATTTAAACAAAAGCAATTGGGCTCATGTATTGTTTAGATTTGGGATTTTGTTTATTAGTAATCATAAGCGATTGTTAGAGGCCATATGGCCCCTTTACGTATAGTTTTGCAGAAACAGCGTATCAAGTAGAGAGTAAGAGCTTGTAGTAAGAGTAGGATATTTTGTTTTAGTACTTTACCCATATTTTAAAAGTATAAATCACAAATGCATAAGACTTTTTTGTTCCCCACTAAGAATCCGTAGAAATAGCCCAGAAAATGCAAATGT